ATTTTGTGATTTGCCATCATGGTCCACCTATGACTTTCAAGTCTCAAGCAATTACACATTAGTTATTAAACATAATAATAAAATATGGGTTGGATGTAACGATATAATATTTATATTCTAGTTTTAGCAAAAAAAAACTAAAATAGAAAAAAAGATATGACACCAGGAGACCAACGATGCATATGCTATTATGGATTACTATTATTGTATACAGTAAAATAAAATCGCGACTTATTTCATAAAAAAAATAAATTTATAAAAATTTTGTACTTAAAATAATAATAAAAATACTTTAAACTCACCAAAAATCCAAATCTATTTGGTTTTCTCAAAAGCTGATAAAAAGTTATAATATTAATTTTTTGTCACGCCTGCACCGAAAGTTTGGTTTTCGTTGAAGCGTCCTCTTTCCATCCCGCGGGCGGTAAAGTGGAAATCCCTAAAGTGCTGGGCGGAAAAGAAGAAATAACCAAAAGTGCCGGGCAGGGACTGGAACCTTTATGATTTTATGGGTTTCGGTTTCGGTTTCGGTTCTCAAAAATCCAAAATTTCGGTTTCGGTTCTGGTTTCGGTTAATACCGGTTTTAATCCTTATTATTTTATTTTTGCTTTTTATTTTATTTTTATCAATTAAGTTCTGTATAAAAAAATTAATATATTAAGAACTTCTATTTAATGATTGGTACCTATTTATAATTGAGTGTACCTATTTAAGAATTTAGCTAATAATATAATATAATATATAATATAATATAATATAATATAATATAATATATAATATAATATAATATTGATAATCAGTCGTAGTGTCGTACAGAGCATAGAGTAAAGAGTAAACATTATGTGTAGCTATTTTTAGCGGTATTAATTATTATTAACGACTCCGACGACGATGTCAATAACACAGCTGTGTTATTGATAATATATTAATATCATATTATTTTCGTTGGTACTATAATAATTGTTTTTTAAAAATAGTATTAGTTTATTTTAATAATAGATAGAGGGAGTATCTTGATCAGATATGTAATAACAAATAACAATAAGTGTATATTTATGTTCACACTATAAAATATCTAATAAATTTTAGAACCGAAAATAACCGAAAAAACCTCTACATCAAAATAAAGGTTTCGGTTTCGGTTACTAAAAAAATGTATTTAAGAGTTCTGGTCCGGTTTCGGTCCCAAGTTTTTCAAAAGGTTTCGGTCTTTAACCGGTCAATTTCGGTACGGTTCCAGTCCCTGGTGCCGGCCACCGGGCGCGTATCCCCTGTACAACCAGAAACTAAAATGTATACCTACCATGGTTCTTACAAAACATAAACTTTTGGTTACATTTTAAATGTATAGTATAACCTCCTTGCATGACGCATAAACATTTAAACATATTTAATTTGCATTGTTCCTAGATAAGTGCGTCGAACGATGCGTTAGTAAGTTCATTTCACGCAATTTGTATAATAATTCAAATTAAATAATGAGCATAAATACGAATGATGACAGTCAACACAGCAGTTGTAGTGAACCATTAACTCCACCACACATGGTTGAAACGGCAAACGCCGTTTCACTAAATCTATTGCCTGAAAATCAAAAGAAATATACTATTGTAGGATAGTCTATAATTTATTGTTGCATAGATCCCTGCATAACCTTTGCATGAACGCAGGGGCGTGACAAAAAAATAGTATGTGTGGCTCGCGCGGGAAGGCCATTTCCCGCCCTTGCCACACAATATTCTATTGTATGCCAGAATTCGGTGTGCCACTCTCATGAGTGGACACAGTGCAAATGTCCCATTTGTCCTTCCATAAATATGGCACTGATATGAAATATAACAAAATAGGTTTTTACACTCTGAAATAGTGGAATCTCACACAAACATGACTGATTTAATCATATTCATTCTTATTATAAAATATTATATTATTTATTATTTAAAATAAAACGTGACTGCCCGATCTATCTAGGCGTAACTCAAACCACTGGACTTTTTAGCTAAAATTTGGCATATATCTCTGCCTTATGCAGTGTTCTGAGTGTACTGAACGTTCACTAAAATATGAACTTGTTCACGTTCACTTTTCAGTCCTTAAAAAAGGAATTCGTTCACGTTCCCTTTCATGTTTCTTTCAAACGAACGCGTTCACGTTCTTTTACAAAACGAACGTGTTCATTGTGTCGTTCATTAAATTTTTTTTTGTATGAATCGTTAGTCTGCAGTCTATATAAAAATTAAAAACTCATAAATATAATATTATGTAAGTACATTATACGACTCAAGTACTCAACCGAGAAATATAATACAGTTTAGACATTAGAGCATAATATACAATGTATAAAGTATTTGAATTAATTTTTAATATCTGACACGTTATTTGAGTCACATTTTGATAAGGATTTAACAGTGATAAAATTAAGCGAATACAAGGGTACTTACTACGATAAACCGATTAGGTTTATCACAAATTCGTGGAAATCATAATATTATTGTTGTTGTATGTCTAGCAGTATTTAATTTAGATATTTTGCAATAAAACAAATATTATAGGAATTATAATGGGAAATTGAAAATATTATTATTATAATATAATTAACTAATATATTTTATACATATACTATTTATTAAATGGTAAATAAATTGAACGTCTTAAAAATCAATCAAATTCATTAAGAACATAAACATCGTCCACGTTCACGTTCTCTTTGCAAAAAACGAGTGACGTTGACGTGTCGTTCATTATATATGGGCAGTATAGTATATTATGCATTAAATATTATGTATAATTTATTTATATAATATGCCTAATATTATGTATATTGTTTATACAAATATAAATACGATAAGTGGAGAAAATAATAAACCATATTTGTGTGAGTTTTTAAAATTTAAAATATTTAATATATTAATATGGTGACCGAATATTTTGAAGCTAATTCATAAATATTTGATAGAATCATGACAAATATTTTGAAAATATTAATATTTTGAATTTGCTACGCGAGACGGAATCTTATTGGGTGTGGACCATATTATTATATTGGTCCCGATGAATTCTATTTTAGTATGTTCTATGTTCCTAATTTCTACTGGGTGGTGCTAAAAAACAGCCGGTTACAGGTTACCACCTTTTTTTCGATATTTAATTTTTTAATTTTTGCCTTGAGGTGTCTTTTCGGGCCAGCCTGAGACCACCACCCTAGAATCTCGTGTGTGGTGATCCTCTTCAGGACCGGCGACTAGCCATCCTGGGATTTCCGTTATGATCCTCCTCTTTTTGAGCCAGCCGGAGCCCTCTGCTTTCATATTCTCGTTCTGGGGTTCATCGGTCATTTGCGACGCCCGTGACCTGGCGAGCCCTCTTCTCAATTCCCTTCAACGTCAGGGATGTCTTCTACCATTTTATAGAAGAGCCTGCACGTTTCTTCAGCGTTGCATAGGATAACCGCCTTCTCCTGGTTGTTCGAGGGGAGGTCTTCGAAGATCGGGCCGCACAGGATATCTGGCATGTCTGTCGTGTCCGGTGGGTGGCCGAGGCGGTTCCGGACCTTGTTCTGCAGCCATCCCGTATAGAAGGACCCGCTTTGGCTTCTTCCAGGTGGGAGGGAAAGTAAGGAACCTGAGACACTACTTGTATATCTTGAGCGCTGCACTGGTTCTGGAGCAGATGATCCACTTGATTATCTCGTAGGGGATGCCTGAGGGGCCGCCCGCCTTTTCCGATGACTTTTCTTAATAGACTTAAGGAGCTCCTCGATGGTGAAATCCGGAACGTCTTTGATGAACTCGAGCTCATCCTACTCCGGATCGAACTGATCGAACATATTTCTAACCTCAGGGGAGGCATCAAGTCAAAGTTTTGCCGGGGCAGGGGGGGAAAGGTGGTCCGCGATCTTGGAGGCTAGTATTGTGATGCCGTCCCCAAAATGTTTTTATCACCAGTTTGTTGGGTGTTCCGCAGGGGTTTTTGTCCACTGTGGAGCAGCTCATGCAGCTTCATCGGGTCCGTGCCTTCTGAGTTCAGGCACTCAGCTATCTTTCGGGACCACCAGTAAACGGGCTTCTTGCCTCCAGGACCTGGAGTCCTGAGGGACATCGAGGCGTTACGAGATGTAGCTATCGAGAGCATCAGCAGCCAGAATAGCTGAGTTTGTGCCTTCAGCACCCCTCGTCAGAATGAGGGGAGTTGAGGAAACGTGCTGGCAGAAGATGTCAAGATCAAGCTTTTTGAGAGCCCATCCCAGGTGAGAATCCTGCGGAGCGTCAGCTTGTGGCCAGCCCAGGTGAGGATCGTCTGGTGGAGGGTCGATCAAGGAGGTGATGTAGTCGTAATCGCTCCGATTGATTTTGTCTAGAACGGACCACTCATGAATCTCTACTCCCCTGGAGAAGGTGACGTATATTATAGAATGTAGCTTCCCCTCTCACAAAAGTGGGAGTTTCACCTGTGGTCGCCAGCGTGAGACTGAGACTCCCCAACAAGCCTGAGAGGAAATCTCCTCTCGGATTGTTAGTCTGGGAGGCCCACTCCACGTTTCAAGCATTTAAATCGCCTGCAACTATCAGCCTGGAGTCTCCCATGGCTTGTATGGCCCGGTTGAGGTCCCCGAGGGACGTGTCGTACTCGGCCAACGTCGTGCCGGGCCTCCAATAACAACTGAAGATGACAAGGGCCCTCAACCTGATCCAGACAAATCCGTTAACGGAACCAGAATCGTGTTGTACGAAACAGGTGCCGGAAGAAGTGCCGACCGAGGCCTTTTGGTCAATTTTGTAGGGCATCCTACCTCCGCCATCGCCCCTTGCATAAGGCTCGGTTATGATTAAGACGTCAGCGTTCCTCTGAGCCGCCGTCTGGTCTATGAGCTGTTGAGTGGCCCAGCGACCATTGAGATTTACTTGGATGAAGTTAATCATGACTAGGTTCCGGTTTCTCCTGGACTCTGCTGCGCGCTTCGCCCCGCAGGCCACAGATCCGGGTCTGTGAGGGAAAGAAATCAGCCCAGCGAGGTCGCAAGTGACGTACTTGTCGTAGGGGCAATCCTTCTCCTTGTGGGTCTGGTCCCTGAATTTGTGGCAGGAGTCACCCATGTCAGGGCTGGAACATCTGCCCTTAGAGTGCCTGAAGCCGTGGCACTTAAAGCACCTGGTGGCTTTAGGGCGGCAGATCCTGACAAGGCTAACCTCTGTGGGTTTCGCCGATCTGGGTAATAGACCTTCGCCACTTGTTGACCGTTGGGGAGCCTCCACATAGAAGTGATAGTGATGTTCCCGCAGAGGGCAGCTACTGTGGAGTCGCGTTTGCAGTAATCCAGGATGGCTGTTCTGACCCCGGCAAGGACTGCGTCAGCGGTGGACGTAGATTCCAATTCAATGTCCTCCATGATTACGTATACTCTGGACTGAGCCACCGAGGCTTGGACTACAGCTACTTTCTCCGTCAGGGCCTTTAGGATTTGAGGCACCTACCCAGATCTACCACAACGTCGCCCCCCCTGGTCTTGCGGATCCCGTTTATGGTTGCCCCATAGTCATCAGGGTTGACGCCTGTCTGCTGCAGAGACTTAACCATGTCCTCGTAGGTAGTTCCCTCCTAGACTTTCACTATGAGCACTGCTCTCCGGAGGGGAGGTAGCTTCCTCGGAATGCGTTTCGGTACAGAAAGGGGGGAAAGCCTCTTTGGCGCCTTGCTTGGCTGCTTTCCTAAATACAACTTCAGTCCACTGCCTTTCATTCGCGTCCTTAGGAACGGAGGTGCCTGGAATTCTGGCGGCAGAAATGGGGAGGGTCATAGGCGGGGAGCCTTGCGGTTTCTCTTAATCTTTCTTTGGCCTTGGAAGCGGCCTCAGCGTCTTCATCCATTGCAGAAGCGTTTTACCGGTGGTCTTCGGGCTGTTGGGAATGATGACCTGTGGGGCTGTGCTGATGTGTTGTGCGACAGAAATATCTGAGCTTGGCGGCAGCGGTGACATAGCCTGTAAGATTATGGCCATGTATCGAAGGATCTTGTTAAAATAATTCGTGGCGGGGTCATCATCCCCGAGTAGATAAGTGAGCTCTCTGAGTTTTTCCGCGATGGTATTGTGGATTTCCTTCGGTTTCAAGGTGGCTGCCCCGTTCAGGTTCCGTTCGCAAATCGGTTGTCAGGCTCTCCATTAACTCTTTTCCTAGAGGGTTCTCCCACAAGATCTCTGGTGTCGGTGAGGTCGAGCTGGTGGGAGTCACCGCTTGTGTTGACGATGTATTGCTCAAGCGAATGAACGTGTAGGTACGATTTCCCGTCTTTAGCTTTAATACACGGGGATTCCTTCATCAGAGTGGGGACTTGGGTGGTAGGTCCGGACTTTCTTGCTACCTCCTTCCATGGCGTTGTGCTCCTGGCAAATGTGCGTGAGCGCTAACTCTGGTTAGGACGTCCCCGTGTGTCGCTGCCCTTTTTCACCCGTGAGCCTGCCAGCCTGCCGGCCTCCAATGCCACGCGACGTGTGTTTATTGTTTTTAAATAATTAATAACTCGCCGTTATTTACCCTTGAGGTGTACAAGGACATTGGGGATTTGTCTATAATACCAATATAGTATTGTAGACGACGTTCGAACACAGTAATAATACACCAATAGACCAATACTAGTAATAATTACAATTTAACTAATTACATTAAAGAAAATATAACAAATTTAAGGTATAAGGTGATTTTATAATGAAGCGATACCTAGTTAATAACGAAATTATATAAATAATAAATAGTCATGAACATGGACTAGGATTTAATATTATCTTAAACCGTGACACGGACGTAAGTGGTCGTGAATTAGCAATAATGAAATATGTCGCATTCACGAAATGGAGTGAATACCAATCGGTCAGCATGACACGCGATATGCGGCTAAGATTCAATATGTTACTATAATTTCTCATTAAAAATTTGCAAGTTTTCCTTCAATAACTTAAATTCAAACAGTACGATTTTGATGATTTTCCCATAAAATCATCTGCACAATTGTTCTGATTTTTTCCAATTTTTTTAAAATTTATTTAGTAGATGATTAGTTAGGTGTAGGTCCGGTTAAAAAGAAACACCAATATGTACACTGTTCAATTGGGCAACCCCTGCTTGGAAATAATATTACATTGTCATGCCACCGCGCCACTTTATTATTTTTTTTGCTTAGCTCGCGCCACGACCGTGGTGCTGGACATAAATAGTATGGTCTTATTGGAATTATTGTCTGTATAAAATCAATTTTTGATTTTGATGTTTCAAAAATGTGTTTTAATTCATTATTGCATTGTAAGTCAATGAGTTCCATTTGAAGATATTCTGGGGCCGAATTGACATCAGTATGAAAAAGAGATGAATATATTTCAAATATTGTCTTGTATTTTTCTAAATTAGTGAAACGACATTCAAAAGCAGCTAAAAGTTTCTTTATTTCTTGTGCATATTTAATGCTATCGATATGTTTTGAATTTTTCAATTCGTTTCGCAATGGAAAGTGTTAAATTTTAAAAATTATTTTTTAATTGAAATTCAAATAACAATAATTTCTTCTGAAATGCATTGATGTAATTACATGAGTCTATTATTAAATTATCCACCGATTAAATTTATTATTAAAATAATAAAAAAAGCACATACTTAAATATTTTTCCACACTAAACGCACTTCAATAGTCACAGCGAATTTATTTCTGTAAATATTTGATATTGCAAAACTTTCCAAGGCGGACCGCGGGTTGGCCATCCCTGGTTTAAGTTGTCATTCATAATATGCTTGATTATTAAATGTATTAAAATTAAACGTAATGTTGTTGTCGATAGCTTATCGACCTACAGACAGTCTGCAAATATTAGCAAAATACAAGGTTGTTATTACTTTTCGATTCTGAGTGGAGCAATGAATAAATTAGTTTTATACAATGATGGGTGTTTTTTCTTCATTATTAATCACCTTTAGGACAGTAGGTATAAATGATTACATTTTCTTCAACATCATCTATTCTCAAGTGAAAATTTCACCGAATGTTTATATTACCATTTTCTATAGGTACACTATATCCGTACACAATAAAAGATAAATTTCCAATTCTTTAATTTTTTTGTTTTTTCTATAAATATCAATTAAATGTTATTTGTCGAGTCAAAAAGCTTGCAATTTCATACGAGGCTCCTGAAATATTGTTACAATGACAGTTGAAAAATATTAAAAATACAAAGGGACATATTTTTTATAAGCAATTAGTCCATTAAACGTGCATGTCTCACACTGTCCCTTCACCTAAACGAATAATGTTTAATTTTATATATTTTTATAACCACGTTATTATCAAAAACCTCACTTCAACACTACAAGGGCTATTTAAACATTCCAAACTATTCTATAGCCCTACCGAAAACTCGTCACACTCCACGCTACAGTCACCCGCACGGCCACACGTTTTCATGATGCATATTGTATATAGGTACACTATAAATCTCTATTTGATGGTTTAAAGTAAAAATAATATGATAGTATGATACGGCGAACGACGAATGGCGACCACTTATACTATGAACGGTCGTGACTTGAGTAAGGCACTTGTCCTAGATCATAGACAGCACGCATATTTAGCGCCATGCCGTCTGCCGACAAGTCCAAAATAGTCACAATACAAAAATAAAATCATTAATACAAAGGGAGATTGGGACAGTGTTTGGAAGCAACGAGTTCAAAAAAGTAACGGATTCTTGGAACGAATTTCTTTTTATAAAAAAAAAAACGAGAAAACGAACTAGTTCTATATCAAGGAAAAATAACAACATTTTTGGTTTCTTTCTAGTTCCAATAATTTACACAGATATGTAAGTAATTGAAATTAAGATATTAAATATAGATATTTAATGTGTATAACGTATATTGGGTATTGGCATATTGCAAATTTTATAATTGATCGACAATCGTTATCGAGTATCGACTATCGACGTTAATTGTTACTCATTACAGGTACCTAGTCATTATGGTCGCTTTATTAATATTTCTTATTGTTGTTATAAGTTATAATTTATATAAAATCTAGTAGGTACCTATATTAAATATAATTATTTAAAAAGACAAGGCAGTCGACATCAATATCGTGACAATCGACAGTTGGCCAACAATTTTATTTTGAAGAAAAAATCAAAATAGAATAATTATAAAAAATAATATGGACGACCGGTCAGTTGTAGGTATATATATATTATAATTAAAAATTAAACAAGTATATACATATGAAAAAAAAATAGTTATGATTAAATAAGAATTTTTATTTTATTTGGAACTAAAAAAGGAACACTTTAATTTTCCAAAGAACTACAAATTAACGATTTCTTTTTTTTTTAGAAACAAGGAACGAAACAAATTTCTTTTTATAAGGAATTTTATAAACACTAGATCTGGAACATGACCAAGACGTGTATTATGCTTTTTGTTATAAACATTTAAATTTGTTATGTGAATATAATATTATAACTCATGAATATTTTATAAGAATATTATTTGCATCAATCGGAGTTTAATATGTTAGTATAAAATTCGATTGAACTTAAAATTTTCAGATTAATATCGATATAACAACATAACATTATAACTGTCAACAGGAAATTCCACGAATTCACATTCGTATTTCTCTGAAATAAATGTTTACAACAACGTAAGCAGCAAGAGCCGCGCCGCGCCCATGTGAAAGCGTATAGGTATCTTAATATTGTTGTTTGTGAGCGATTGCGGCTTACGGATGTGTACTGTGTAGACAGTATTCGTGGACCACTCATGGGTTTCTAACAAAACTATTGTTAGTGTACAACATGTAGGTATTGTGATATGCTGTCGAATAGTTTTGTGTGTACACACACGACACGGAAGATAAATTATATAGGTAGTAGTTTGGTCTGTACGGATAATAATAAAACGTACCTTTAAACGCGTATTATGTGTTAAATAAAAAAAAAAAACTGCGTCCAATGAGTAAAGTCGTAAAATTCGGAATTATATAGATGTATGTGTGTATGTGTATGTGTTTATTAAATGATGTTTTCAGAATTTGAAAAGAACGTCTTCTTATAAAATGTCTCCACTAAAAATGGCAGGTGCCGACCATACGCCGACCATTTATTCTGTGTTGAAATAGTTACATAATATACCTGTACCTTTTTAACAATATTTGCACATATATTTTTAAATAACACCCTATACTTACCAATATCATTTAAATATTAATAACTGAAGAACTTCTTATTGATTAACACGCCTACGTACTTATAAAAGCTAAAATCGATTTCTAATTTGAGATAATTTTTAACCTATCTCTCTTATTACAGTTTACAATAATTATTTTCCTTAATTCCTAAATGATAAAACAAATGTATTGAATGTATTCCTTTATTGAAATTATATTTTCTATTACTTATGAATTGTAGGTTTCGGATTCTAAATTGTAATTGATATAATAGTAAATTTAAAAATATATATGACCTGGTTTAGATATAATTAAATTACCTACATCCATCTGTAATATTAACAAATTGAGTCACATCAAGTTTAAAAAGTCATGTTAATAGTCATAGCTAGTTGTAGGTACCTAGTAACTAGTTCATTCACCCGTACAATAAATTATTGTAGGACTTTGGCTTTATAAATATTAATATAATTATAAAAAATATACTATGAATATTTGTATTTAATTTGTTTTACAAATATATAGCATTAAATAATGATTAACTGTTTAGATACAGTGTAATATTTATTATATACTTAAGTGTAATGTATAGGTACCTATTATTCGTTTTAGAATTAACTTAAAAAATTTGCTCTGCTGTACTGTAGGTTACAAGTGGGTCACTGCATAATGGATGGTATTAAATTTGAATTCAATGATATAATATCAATTTATAAGAAAAACGATTCTGAGCGGAGACGGTATGCCAGTCTAGGT